CTCTTTCATCATCATCATCATCATCATCTGAGCTTTCTCCTCAAACATCAACCATAGCCTTGGTTGATCCTTTGTTGTTGCTTTCCTTGGGTTGAACTTGTTCCTTCTTCCTATTCCTTCATTCAGCTCTTTCCTTCTTCCATTCAATTTCCCATAAAGTACAGTTTTTGATCATGTGATCAGTCGTTTCACACTTGTAGCAGCCATCATTGGTTTGCTTCTCCGGAGCTCTTTCCTTAATGTAGCTTCCACTTCTTGAAGAACACTTTCCTCTCCTTAGGTACTTCTTGAAGTCTTTGGTGATCATTGCCATTTTATCATCTTTCAGATCAGAACCTTCAGTGATTCTGAGTGCCAATCTCCTTTCCTTCTTTGGTACATCCATTTTCATGGTTTGTCTCCTAAGTTCACAGGTAGTAAAATTCCCAATAAATTCCTCTAGTGGGAGAGTAGCAATATTCTTTGATTCCTGGATGATAGTGATCTTTCTTTCCCAAGTGATTGGCAAGACCCTGGTGAGTATCTTCTCAACTCTTTCTTATTCAGGAATAATCGTTTCAAGATATTTTAGTTCATTTGTCAATGTAGTGAACCTTGTGTACATCTCCTGAATGGTTTCTTCATCCTTCATATCAAAGTTCTCACACTGAGAGTACAGTAAAGTTCCTCTAGATCTCTTCACCTGAGTTGTTCCTTCATGGGCCACTTGTAGTGTGTCCCAAATTTACTTAGCAGTGGAACAACCTATGATTCTGATGTACTCATTTGGACCAAGTCCACAAACAAGCCATTTCTTGGCTTTTGCATTCTTTTTCCACTTCTTCAGATCCTCAACATTGCAATCAACTCTTGTCTTTGGCACATCTACTCCTTCAGCATTTTTCTTCAAAGTAGTCAGTGGACCATTAGTAACGATGTCCCATAGCTTATAGTCCTCTCCCTGTATGTGATCTCTCATTTTGTTCTTCCATCAAGAGTAGTACTGGCCATTAAAGAGTGGTAGCCTAACAGTGGATTACCGTTCCTAATTTCTAGGTGGTGCACTCATCTTGATATTCTCCTAAGGTGTTAGCCTCTTCAAGGATAACTCGCTCTGATACCAATTGATTTTTATACTTCAATACCACACAAGAAGGGGGTGATTAGTGTGGTGTCTAATTTTTCACGTGCACAGATTATAGAAGGACATAGTTCTTCTATGTGTTCCTTATACTACAATTGCGGAATAATAAATGCAAAAAGTAAAGAACACACGTATTTTTACGTGAAAAATACCCGGCTCAAAAGGTGAAAACCCACGACCTACTACCCAATAGGATTTATCCCAACACTTCACTAAATCACTGAACCAAGACAGCATTTACAAAACTCTTGTAAACCTAAGGATTACCTCTAACCCTTTGTGGCAACCACCCTCAAACCGTTGTGATAGTTTCAAGTTAACTCTAACTTGAACAATACACTTAGAGTACCTAGTACAAATGGTTCTATAGAAAGCTGAAAGATACAACTCAAAATCCCTACTACGATGAAACCAGAATAAAAGACAGACACTTGGAACTGATTCTTCTATCTGGTTCATGTAGCTTCAGGTTCGCACACTTGAATCAGACAGGAATTGCTTACAAAATGCCTTGCTATTTTGCTCTCAATTCGTGCTTTCACTTATGTATTTGTGTGTCCCTGTAAGATGAGAACATCCTGAATTATATAGAGTTAGTAGAATAGTAAATAACTAGAGTTCTAATGCTATACTCTTCCTTGGTGGAAGAGTTCTAGTTATCTTCAATGTCTAACTCCTCCTTTATCTAGGATAGAGTTCTCTTCGAGTAAGGAGTCCTGCTCCTTATCAAATATGCAACCTTTTCATTCAGGAGATATCCAATATAACTATTTATGCTTGTCTCCTTCACGTGCATGTCTTGTGCTTGAATCTGCCCGTGTCTGTATACACTGTATATGGACCGATTCATGCGTGTGTTTCTTTGTCAATTATCACAAAAAACTTACTCAGGCCAACAAATGACCTTTCAAGTGTGACCAATAATGACGTGAAGTATTTTTAAAACAACTAGTTTTAGTGTAAGTGCGTTGCGCGTGTACCCTTATTACAATGATTATTATTTTAAAATAAAATTGCACTAAAATTATGCTTGAGTTATAAAATAAAGGTGTAAAATATTGATGTAGATAAATAGATTATGAATTTTTAACTAACGATTTTATTCAATTTGATATAATCTAAGTGTAAGATATATAATAATGATGTAAAAATATAGCTCGTCCCAAATTCGAAATATATTGTAATCATACTTTTATGAAATGCAAAATTTTATTTCTAAATAAAAATTTAAAGAATAATAATCAATTACTGTTTTATTTTGGATCTTTGTGCTTGTTGAATTGTTTAGTGTTATTTAACTTTTGCGGACCAACTTTCGCTCACTCTCTTTCTCATTTATATTATCAAATATTTTTCTTTGTTATTCTAATTGTTGAGCTTAGTACTAAAATATTTTATAAATTAACAATCAAATGACTTCAATATAATATGAAAATACGCTATATATGATATGATATAAATTAATTCACATATTTACTACAATGGTAACAAAAATTTAAAAGAACAACATTCAAAATTAACCAAGAATGTAAACAAATTATTCCTCGATCCCAACAAACGTGGTTGAATAATACTTAGAACATATTGAAGGAGCTGCAATTAGTGCATTGAATTACGGAGTTCCTACCTGTTCAAAGTTTTATGATATAAACACGTCCTTTTTAATAATCAAAAGTTTAGTTGACGTAAAAGTTTTATACATTAGAAAAATATAGTTGTGTTTAATAGTTCAAATAAGGAAGAATTTATTTAAAGAAAAATATTAATTGATTTTAAAGTTCTAAATATTAGGATTTCCTATACAGTCTGAATAAAAATAGATTTAATAGTCATAATTATAATTGATTTCAAACTCCTAAATTGTAGGAAAAAAATAATTAAACGCAGTATGAAATTTATTTTTAAATGATAAAAAAGGCGAATGACCTTTCATTAAGGGGCTTCGTGCTTTTAATATAGTACTCCCTCCGGTCCACAATAAGTGACCAATTTGCTTTTGGCACGCCCATTAAGAAAATACTAAATTCTATACAAAAATACCTAGTATGACTAAACTACCCTTAATTAAATATTTAATGTGAGGAGTAAGAAAACTTTTTAGGGATATGTACATAAGGGTAATCTTGTAAAAACAAATTGAATTCTTTCTTGATTATATAAATGGACACTTATTTTGGACCAAAATAAAAAAAAAACAAATTGGTCAATTATTGTGGACCGGAGGAAGTATATAAATAGATAGATAGATAGATAAGGCTTGTAAACCAATTTAAAGGTCATTAAACACAAGACCTATCAAGAGACTAGATAAGAAAAAACTCAAGGACCTATTAGGAGACTTGAAAGGAAAAGTTAGGGAAAAACCTACACTTATAATGAACATCTAAATCCAATAATAAAGTACAAAAAAAAAACAATGAAAAAACTTACTTTGAGATAATTATAAAGTATATGTAAAAAAAAAAAGATAATTACAAAATATAGTACTAGTATTACATACAAGTTCCTGCAGTAGCATATGAAGAAGGGATTTAATCAATATTCGAGTTGAACATTCCTAATCCTAATTCCCATTCTTCAAGATCAGTGTTTTAAAAGGCTTTTTTGGGACTCGCCCCGGGACGGGACACTATCAAAACGCTTTGAGACTCGTGTGAGGCTTAGTTATGTGAGGCTTACACCCCCAAGCGCCTGACCGTGCGCCCTAAACACACCTAACGCTCAACGCTCAAGATTCGCCCAATAGTTCATATGCCAATCATGTATTGGATTCATTAATTTACACCGTTGACACTTTAAATTCTTTAACAAATGAATGATTAAAGTTCTTTTTATCTATGAGAAAATAAAAATTGTGAATAACTCAAATAACGAACCATAATATTGCATATATACTAATTGAAAACATTGTGAGGGTGACTATCATTTGAATATTTCTTCTAAAAATAGATGACCAAAATTTATATCTTTACTTGATAGATCTTCATATCTTAGTTCTATGTCTCTCAAAATTGTCATACATTTCTTATTTTACTATTTAAAAATAATTTTATATATACTTATAAAGGAGTAATATTTTGATACAGTGTTGATAAAATTTATTTAGTATTTACTTTTAAAGAGGTAAAATATGCAGTTTGATAATATTTTTAAGAAATTATAATTTTTGATTGTTTGAAAGTTAAGAGGTCATAGTTAATATATTTTCATAGTAATTTTGATAATACTGTATTATTTATACTTGTATAACATGCTAAATATTTTATTTTATATGAGTTTCTTTAATTATTTTTAGTTTTTTGAACTTCTAATGTATCTTTTATATATATATTTTTTGTGTTATAATGCTATATTATTAATTCATAAACTTGAAAAAATTAAAGATCCGTGGGGCTTACGCCCCGTGTCTCTGAAGCTTTCGCCTCGCCCTGTATTAAGTAAAACGTCGCGCCTCACGTCCCCGCCTTTTAAAACACTGTTCAAGATAATAAATGGAAAACTTTTCATTCGTGAGCACCAAGTACCAAGGGTCGCTATTGCCATAAACTATTGTGTATATTCAATCGCACATGTAATGTAAACTAAGATAAATGTCTCTACTAAATACACACTTATCTAGTCTCTGGTAATTGAATTAAGTTCAAAGTAGTTGTGACTTAGAATTAAGGAGTCTTTTAAAATTCATGAAACACTCAAGTTCCAACACTTTCACATTTATGAAACTGGATTGACTGGATTCCAATCGTCACATAAAACTAGCCAGTTTTCACCTATAAAATCAGAGCACCTGCTACTGTTTTTTTATCAAGCCTAATCCGAAATCCTTGGTTAATCTCTCCATTGCAATATTGGCTTATTGTACTTTACCAAAGTGATAATGGCATCCACTGACAAACATGAAATCAAAATGATCAATGGCACTGTTCTTCTCATGAAAAAGACACCTTTGGACCTTGGTTCTTCTCAAGTATTAGCTCCACATGAAAATTATGAAATTCTTGGACATAAGGTCATCCTGCAGCTTGTTAGTTCTGTCCATGGAGATCAAGGTTTGAACTTTTTAAATACTTTTCAAATAATTTCATTCCATTTCTCATGCTCCAGTCTAATTACAGGATTTAAAGGTAGCGGGTGCACTGTAACAGTACCTTAACAATGTTTATAGGCAGTAGTGTCACGACGAAAACAATTACTCGATGGCTTTAGGCGGACTGGCGGACTAATAACTGGTGGTTGCATGTGGGCTTTGAAAATTAGGAAAGAAGTTTTCTGTGTGGAGAGAGATAATTGGAGAAGAAGTTTTTGATTTAGGGATTTAACTAAAAGTAAATGGGGTGGGTCCATTGGAAAAAACTAAATCAAATACACTAAGTAAAAGAAAAAAGGAATGGGGTAGTAGCTAAAAATATGGGCCTTTGGGCTGACCATATTTTCCAAGAGAAAATCTCAGTTTATACTCATTAATTCTAAACTATTTACCCTTTGATGCCCATGTTCAAATTGCTTACTTCTCCTACCCATGCGACCCAAACTATTTACCCGTCCTTTATTCTATTCGCACTGCCACTGCCTCACCAACCGCAATAAAGGGCTCCTTAATTTCAAATGAGTCCAATTTTTAATCTCTCTGCTTCTTTGTCAAGAGTTAGAATTCTTTACTTTTCTTTTTAGTTTATTATAATAACTTCACTTTTAGTACTCTGTTATTTGACCTGCTTTTTATTTAAGAACTTTTTTAGCCTATGCCTAAAACTTTTGGCCATTATCATTTGGGAAAGTTTGCGTATGAACTCGAAGAAAACCAGTACTCCCATGTACTAGCTTTTATGTGTATTTGAATATTCACCATTATTGGGCTTGAAGCTCTTGAATTTAAAATTTTTATTTTGAAGATTTCTTGTTTGATTCGAAGTGGGTGCTGTTAAATATTGCTTATAATATCTTCTGGAAGTTCATGCTGAAATTTGATAACATTTGGAGCTGATTTGAGGTGATTGAGATCGAAAATTCAGCTGAAAATTGAAGAAGAACACATCTACCCAATAGTATACTGCTACGGTATACAATATGCTATAGGAGTATATAACTATTCCCCAACAGTATACTATAGGAGTATATAGTTATACTGCAACAGTATACAATATATTATTATAGTATACTGTAATAATATGCAATATACTGTAACAGTATGCTGTAATATTATATAATATACTATAATAGTATAATTATTACCCGTAAATTTCACTTGCCTTTTCCCTTTTAATTTGCTTTAAGCTTTTACCCAGCGTGAGAGGCAAATTGAAAATGCAAAAAAAAAATATTATAGTATGCTATATAATGTAACGGTATACTCTTACAGTTAGATTTTTTTAGAATTTTTTGAAATTTTTATTGACAACTGATATTATTTCAGTTTAATAATTGAATTAAATTTTTTTTTTAACTCTTTGCGTACAATTGTTCACCCTGTTGGTATAGCTATATACTATACCAGTATCATATGTTAGTTAATATTTTTTGATTGTATTAGCTACATTTAATTGGCACACAATTTGATTTTTCTTTAGTAATAATATTTTTAAAAAAGAATAATAAAAATAGTGAAAACAGTAAATGAAATTAGATTATGAAAGAAAAAAATATAAAAAAAAAGAAGTTAAATGAAATTAGAAAAGGAAAAAAGAAAAAAATAAGAAGAAAACGATAAAAAAGAATAGAAAAGAAGCATAGAAATAAAAAAGAATTGGAGAATAAAGAAAAAATTCCCCACATAAACTACTATGNAGAAATAAAAAGAATTGAAGATAAAGAAAAATTCCCACATAACTACTATGGTAGGAATGTAATTAGTTATGGTAGAAAATAAATGGGTAGACAAGGGTAAATAGTTTTATTTTTTTGGGTAACTGTGTTAAAACCCCAATTTCCAACTAAACTATAGGCTATCATATTAAATTATCCTACTGAAAAATAAAAAACGTAGTAAGCAGATACGTAGTTACAGAGATCCGAACTGAGGTATTTGGCATGAAACCAGCAGCACCAACCAGCGCACCGAAAGTGCTTTTGAGTCTGAGGGGTCATAGAGATATATATATCATAATTTGAAAGTATATACACATATATATCGATAGTTTCTTCCGAAGTTACCCGGTGCCGGTGACCCCTCTCCTCTCCACGTGGGTCCGCCCCTGGTTACCCTTTTGTTTGTTTTCTATGTTACTATGCAGCAAGCATGCTAGTGCTCCAGTTAAGTGTGAATATATGCATTTTATTCTGGATTTATGGATTAACAATCATATGTTTATATTGTTGAAGGAAAAACTTTGAAAGGGAAACTTGGGAATCCTTCACATTTAAGAGATGAGAACAAATCAGGCAGCGAATCGAAGTTTTGTGTCACATTGGAGTGGGATCATGAAGTTCTTGGAGCTCCAGGTGCATTCATCATCAAGAATCTTAATACAAGTGAATTCTATCTCAAGTCACTCACTCTTGAAGCTAGTGATCCAAGTCTCGACACAGTGCAATTTGTCTGCAATTCTTGGGTTTATCCTGCTGAGAAATACAAGTCAGACCGCATTTTCTTTGTGAATCAGGTACAGGCAAAATGATTCAAATATAGTGTTATAGGTCAGATCATTTACTCATTTTCCGTTTGATGATTTCTTTGTATGATTTGCAACAGGCTTGGCTTCCGAGTGAAACTCCTGCAGCATTGCGCGTGTACAGAGAAGAAGAGTTGCTAACATTGAGAGGAAATGGAACTGGAAAGCTCGAGGAATGGGACAGGGTTTATGACTATGATTGTTACAATGATCTTGGAGATCCAGACAACGGTCCACTTTACGCTAGACCAGTTCTTGGGGGATCTGTAGAGTATCCTTATCCGCGTAGAGGAAGAACTGGACGACCACCATCTAAGGCTGGTAAGTCATTCAGTAAAAGCATTTGCACTATTTTTATAACCCCTAGATAGATGTGTATCCCTATTTGTTTATTTTTACACTTGCTTGGACAGATCCAAACAGTGAAAGCCGGCTTCCACAAATAGCTAGCTTTGCAATTTATGTCCCGAGGGATGAGAAGTTTTCGCCTGTAAAGATGACAGATGTCCTTAGTAATGCACAGAAAGCCATTGCGCAAGTCTTTGCTCCTCAGCTTGCTGCTTTAGGAAATCTCTCTCTCAATGAATTCAACAGCTTTGAAGATGTTCTGAAAGTGTATGAACCTGGAACTCCAGGTTTTCTTAAGTATCCAACGCCACATGTTATTAGAGGTAACTTTGGATGAGACTTTCGCTTGATTCATTTCTGTAATAATTCAGTTTTTGTGGTGTTCTCTAAAATTTTAATTTGGTGAAACAGAGGAGAAGTCAGCCTGGATGTCAGATGAAGAATTTGGAAGAGAGACGTTAGCTGGATTGAACCCTGTGTGCATAACTGCCCTAAAAGTAAAGACTTTCATTTTTTTTTTCTAATTCTTCTATCTTGTCTATTGTCTGAGGAATGGAATAGATGACATTTTATGCATTTTTGGTACAGGAGTTCCCCCTGACGAGCAAACTGGATCCGAAAACTTTTGGTGACCAAACAAGCAAAATAACCAGAGAACAAATACAGAATCAGCTAGATGGAATGACCATTGAAGAGGTAAGTGACTAAACGGGTTATTGTTTCTTGCCTTGGAATGAATCTAACTCAAGTGTATATTTGCTACTTCTTAGGCCATGGAGGTGAACCGACTTTTCATACTGAACTACCATGACATTGTGATGCCATATGCGAGGAAAGTTAACACATCTCATTCTAAGATTTATGCCACAAGAACTGTGCTCTTTCTGCAAAAGGATGGTACTTTGAAGCCACTGGCCATTGAACTAAGCTTGCCTCATCCAGATGGAGATCAACTTGGCGCTATAAGCAAAGTATTCACTCCAGCTGAAAACGGTGTTGAGGGTGCCTTATGGCAAATTGCAAAGGCATTTGTAGCAATTAATGATTCTGGAGTTCATCAGCTTCTCAGTCACTGGTATTTCAAACTAACCCAAGTCCATGTAGTGTAATCTGTTACTGAATATTTGTTTGATCACACGTCTAATGTTCTTCACAGGTTACGTACTCATGCATCAGTTGAGCCTTTTGTTATTGCGGCAAATAGGCAGCTAAGCATGCTCCATCCTGTCTATAAGCTTTTGCATCCTCACTTCCGTGATACTATGCATATCAATGCGTTGGCTCGACAGGCTGTACTTAACGCTGGAGGTATTGTTGAGAAGACGGTTTTCCCAGGACCATTGTCAATGGAGCTGACATCTATTGCTTACCGGGACTGGGTTTTCCCTGACCAAGCTCTCCCTGCTGAACTTGTTAAGAGGTAAGTCACAACTTGGTGTGCTAGTTTATCTACTATGTAATGATTTCCTAATGTAATACTGCTTTTTTGTGTACTGTTTTTCTTCAGAGGAGTGGCAGTCGAAGATCCTTCATCCAAACATGGTGTCCGACTACTAATTGAAGACTATCCTTATGCTGTGGATGGACTTGAAATCTGGTCAGCAATCAAAAGTTGGGTAAATGAATATATCAGTTTGTATTATAAATCAGATGACATGCTTCAAAAGGACACTGAACTCCAAGCCTGGTGGAAAGAACTCCGCGAAGTAGGACACGGTGACAAGAAAGACGAGCCTTGGTGGCCTAAAATGCAGACGCGCCAAGAACTCATTGACTCAGTGACTATCATTATCTGGATGGCTTCTGCTCTTCATGCAGCTGTTAATTTTGGGCAGTACCCTTATGGAGGCTTTGCACCAAATCGCCCTGGTATGAGCCGAAGGCTTATTCCTGAGCCAGGAACTCCTGAGTATGAGGAGTTGAAGGTGAACCCTGTAAAGGGATATCTGAAGACAATTACACCACAGTTCCAGACTCTGATTGGAATATCTGCTCTTGAAGTTTTGTCAACACATACTTCTGATGAAATTTATCTTGGTCAGAGGGATTCTGCTGAATGGACCAAGGACAAAGAAGCTCTGCAAGCTTTTGAAAGGTTTGGAAAGAAGCTGGCTCAAATTGAGGAAAATATTTCGATGATGAACAATGATAAGAAGTGGAAGAACAGGACAGGGCCTGTTAAGATGCCATATACATTGCTTTATCCGACAAGTGAACCAGGACTTACTGCCAAAGGAATTCCCAATAGTATCTCTATCTGAATTACTTGCTAAAATGTTCCCGGTGATATCATCACTAGGATTATGACAGGCCTCTAAATTAAAGAGGGTCTGTTTATCTATTTCCTAGCTTTGTAATGTTAAACCAACTTCTGCTTTGGTTATATAATTATTATATGAGTTAAGATCTCTCTTCTTAGTTACATTTGTGATTTATCGGTTTCCTTGTTCTCCTTTTGAACTTGACTGTAGTACCAATTCTGAAATTAAATTGCAAATTAAGGATGAGATAAAGACTAAAACATTTCTGGGTGTCAAATTAAAACAGGAAAGACATGCAAACTTGATGGTTAACTTCTGCGCCTACTTTATTCCTTTTGCTTGTGTCTGTCAAATTGGATAACACAAGTTATTTTTCAGAGAAATTGATTGGAATGCCCTTCTCTTTGCTTGATATAGAAAGACCTCAAAATGTATCTTATAGTTAAGTTGAAGCAAGAAGAATTAAATTTATTTGCAACTCTGACTTCTTTCCTCTTCTCTTCTTTGTGGGAAAAGTACTAGACTATCTTCTAATGGCCGGTCTTTTAATAATTATCATCCAAATATTTAAATCATATAAATCGTATTCCATTAGCCATATAACAGTGTAATAATTTCTTTACTACATATTTATATATTTTATTCTTTGTCCAGTACTTGATCATATCATATCTCTTTAATTTTGAGAAAGAACTTCATTTATACTAGTGGAAGATATACATCTTTGCATATACATCTATTCAGGCTCACTACTTCCGAGCCTTCCAAGTTGCATTAGCAAGTTATACAAACTTGGAGCACTAGCTCCTATACTTCTCTATCTCAGACAATGCCCCAAGTTTTTAATGTTATTCCAGATTCCTTATCTTGATTAACTTCACATGCTCATGAAAACAGATGGACATTTAGCTCTCCGCTGCAGTAATGGTTGCTTGTTGGGCGTCTATAACAGTTGCATGGTTACATGGGTAGTATGTGTTTAGGCCAAAGAAGATACTGCAAACATGCAGTTATCTTCAATGAGATCCGCGGAGTGATAATGAGACCAATACTCCTTCACAAGTTGCCCGAAGAGCGAACCTTCTTGCTTCATCAGCTTCATTGGTTCATCATACTCCACTAAATGCCCTGTAATCCCAAACAAAGTTAAAGTTATTACAGCTAAAACATTCTGGGATTAGCATGTTTGAAAGTCTTAACATAGTCGTCTGTAAAAGAAAACAACCAAGTCTTACCATCACTAATGGCCATAACCATCGTACAATCCATTACTGTAGGTATCCTGTGGGCAACTGTAATTACAGTACTGTTAGAAAATTCTGTCCTGATAGTTTTCTGCAATATCATATCAGTGGCATTGTCGATCGATGCAGTTGCTTCGTCAAGCACCAAAATCTTGCTTTTCCTCAAAAGAGCACGTCCCAAACAGAACAATTGCCGCTGCCCCATGCTCCAGTTTGATCCATCTTCCACAACTCAAATAACTCTACAATGGTCAACAGAAACCTACTTGGATAAAATAATCATACCTGCTGCTGGAAAACTTACCCAATGAGTCAAGCCCCTTTACTTTTTCTTCAACTACCTCTTTTAGCTGACATTTTGCAAGAACCTTTCCAATGGAGATGAGAATGAACGCAATGAATCAGAAGATCGCTTTGGTATAATGCACATTCTCCGTCTAGTGCCAAAAAAAAACAAAAAAACAAATACATAATAAGTTAACTTACCTCCCATATTTCCTCATCAGTATGCTGACATAAGGGATCCAAGTTGTATCTTACTGTTCCATTGAAGAGTGTAGGGTCCTGAGGTATAATCCCGAATTGGGACCTTAAATCATGAAGACCGATTTTAGAAATGTCAATTTCATCTATCAAAATCCTTCCACCTGCTGGTTCCACTAATCGAAATAGGGCCCCGATGAGTGTAGTCTTGCCACTCCCAGTTCGCCCAACAATACCAATCTTATGACCTCCTTCAAATGTACAAGTGATCCCCCTTAGAACAAGAGGGGAATCTTCTCTATATTTGATCTGTTTTGGAGTATACTTATCAGCATCTTGAATCTTGATCAGTTCTAAATACAAGAAAACTAGGGTGGTGAGAAAAAATTTACCTGCAAATCTTGAATTTCAACTTTACCCCTCGTTGGCCAGTTGACTGGTGGACGGTTCTCTTTTACAATTTCAGGAGCTTCACTTGGAATGTGCATATACTGGTTAAGTCTTTCTACAGAAATTATGTAATTTGCTAGCCTACACTGGATTTGAATGGAAGCAACAAGAGATATGTTTAAGGAAAGACCATAGGACAAAGCCATCCCAATAAATCCTTCAAAAGAATAATAGCCTGTTATTAGAAAACCTCCTGTTTAACATTAGGCAAAAGGTTAAGGAACAATAATATAGAATTCTTTATTCGAGTCCCAAGATTAATATTTATCATGGCATACCTGAACTGAAAGTCCCTGGAGGAAGCAAAACCATGCAAAGTGCCGAGGATGCAAGAAAAGTTGCACTAATAGTTTCCAGTCGTTGAATCAACCACTCATTGGCTGCAAAATTGTGGAAAAACGGACTGGCATTTATATCAATTAGCTCAAAAGTCTTCATAAAAAATCTGTCTTCCTCTTTGAATGCCCTTATAGTCACAGCTCCGTCTATAGATTCAGCAAGATGGTTGGCCACAAATGATTTGGTAGTACCATTTATCCGCATCAACACTTTGGCAGACGCATAGTAGTATTTCTGTCATGAGTAAGAGAGAGTTTAAAGTCTCAATTTACCAGTTACTGTTGGCACATGAATAGTGTTGCAGAGGATTAAAGCTTTAAAATCCTACAACCCTTGCCAGAGAATCATATTTCCGGACTATTCAGTTTGGAGACATAGAGCGTAAAAGAAATGAAAAGTTAAGAATGTGTTTAACAGTAACAAATCCTGTCCTACTTTCATACAGTGGGCAGAGCCATGCAACTCAAATACAAATCGTTGAGATAAATAAAACAGTCAACTCTTACCTGCAACTGAATGGCAAGAAAAACCATTGGGATTGAGATAACCAGAACTTGCCAAGTGACAACAGGTAGCACTGTAAGATTAGCATAGAAGTTTGTGGTAGATCCAAAAGCGAAAATCAAGTTGAAAGGAACATCAAGATCAACTATACTCAAATCTGATGAGACCTGCATACAGGGGTTTTGGGGTAGTGGAGAGATAGCAAAAATGGTTAGGTCCATAAACATACTTAGTATCAATGTTATAGCTTGTATTTCAATGTTCGTGTTTGAGATATTTACCCTGCTAAATATCCTTCCCAAAGGTGTAGAGTCATAAAATGACATAGGAGCACGGAAAAGAGAATTTAATAGCTGTGAGAACAAGGAATTTGATGATTGCAAACTCAAAAAGACCGTCAATAGAGATCGAGATAGCAAAAACAATGTTGATACAACACCAATTAGCAAGTAAACTGCAATAAGCCTCAAAGTGCTAACTTGGGGATTATCAACATTTGCAGCCATCCAGGAGTTCTGTTATATCTGACCAACCACATATGTTATGAAGGAGAGTACAGCCATGACAAAGAAGAAGTACCCTTTGTTCTGATTTAGATACTGAACATAAGGCTTAAATCCAGTATCTCCGACTTCTCTCTCTTCTTGCTTAATCAGCTGATCACCTACAGAGGCTATAGAATTTTTGTGAGTATCAGTTTTATGAGTTTCTCTTGAACGAGATTCCCTCCTTGATGATGGATTAACCTCTGCAACCCTTTCTGAACCAGCGGTCTCTTTGTGTGCATCGACCAAGTCCTGGAAGTCTTTGCTCAATGCCAATAACTGATGATATGGAGCTGCATGTAGAATTTCTCCATCTGACATTAACTGCGAATGAATTAAACATATGTAAGGCCATTTCTTGTGAATATAACCATTCAATTTCAAATATCAATGTGATTTTACAGAGAATATATCAGGGATTCAAGAGTTCACTTTCTTTTTCTTCTTTAGAAAAACAAGCCATCGATAAGAAGTCATATTAGAAACAGAAGTTCATCAAGAAAAACTAACCAGAACCACATCAAAAGCAGGAAGAAAATCAACTTGGTGAGTCACAAGTAAGACGGTCTTCCCCGAGAGAGCTCTCATGACGTAATCCTGCAAAGGACCGGTTCAAATTTGAGCTTGCACGTCAGAAGAAACAATATGAAGCACAATACTATTTCTCACATTGAATAGACTACTAGCAGTATGGGCATCTACAGCACTGAATGGATCATCCAGGAGATATATATCAGCATTATAATACAGTGCACGAGCAAGTTGAATGCGCTGCTTTTGACCACCACTAAGATTAACTCCTCTTTCACCTATTTCAGTGAGATCACCATAAGGTAACAACTCAAGGTCTTTTAAAAGTGAACATTTTTTCAATGTTTGCTGGTATCTCTGGTTATCCTGTGGACAACCAAACAAAATATTTTCTCATATTGACCCCGTCAGAATCCATGCCGACTGAGAGACATAGGCAATTCTTCCATTAACTTGAACCTGCAGAACACAGAGAATCTATATAAAAGTTGGGGATATGGAATTATTTTCTTGTGCAGGACGAGAAGTAAATTACGTATGTGCTTACAGTAATAAACTTCGAGAACCTACTTATCATTTTCCTACCTAGCAAGGAAAACAGTAACTAACCAGTACAACTTACAGTTCCTTGGATACTTGGAACCTCTCCAAGAATTGCTGCCAGAAGAGTTGACTTTCCTGAGCCCACCTCCCCACGGTCTAACCTCCAAATTAATATTTCTCAGGGTAGGTCGAGATGGATTCTCTTCCCATGAGAGATTAGCTGATTTGATAAGTACAGCACTATGTGTACTTGCAAAGTTGTGATCCTGCCCAACGTTTGCATTGTCTAGCTCGGGGGCCTCAAGGAACTTGACAATCCTTGCAAAGGAAACCTTGGCTTGAATCACCACACCAATAACGTCAGGAATGGTTCTTATTGGATCCTGAACAATACGTAAAGTTGCTACAAAGGTGAAAACGTTGCTTGCATACAGTGGAACACGTAGGAAATAACAAGACCCAAATGTTGCAGCAGAGACCAAAACAGGTGAGGACCACAAAAGGAAGATATTATATCCCTTA